AGCGCGGCGCAAAACCTCCGCGTCATAACACAGCTTTTAGCTCTTCGCATCATAACACACAAAAGATTTCTTTTTCTCTCTTTTTTCTCTTCTTTATTATCTTTCTTTTAGCTCTTCGCATCATAACATACAAAAGATTCTGTTTCTCTCTCTTTCTTTCTCTTCTTTTTTATCTACTTTCTTCTAGTTCTTTTTCACCTCTGCATCATAACACACTAGGAAAAGATTCCGTTTCTCTTCTTTTCTTTCTCTTCTGTCTTATCTACTTTCTTTTAGCTCTCCGCATCATAACACACAAAAGATTCTGTTTTTCTCTCTTTCTTTCTTTTCTGTTTTATCTACTTTCTTTTAGCTCTTCGCATCATAACACACTAGGAAAAGATTCTGTTTCTCTCTCTTTCTTTCTCTTCTTTTTTATCTACTTTCTTTTAGCTCTTCGCATCATAACATACAAAAGATTCTGTTTTTCTCTCTTTCTTTCTCTTCTTTTTTGTCTATTTTCTTTTAGCTCTCCGCATCGTAACATACAAAAGATTTCTTTTTTCTCTCTTTCTTTCTTTCTGCTTTATCTACTTTCTTTTAGCTCTTTGGGTATCACCGTATCATAACACACTTGGAAAAGATTCTGTTTTTCTCTCTTTCTTTCTCTTCTTTATTATCTACTTTCTTTTAGCTCTTCGCATCATAACACACTAGGAAAAGATTATGTTTCTCTCTCTTTCTTTCTCTTTCCTTTTTATCTACTTTCTTTTAGTTCTTTTAGGTATCACCTCTGCATCATAACATACTAGGAAAAGATTCTGTTTCTCTCTCTTTCTTTCTTTTCTGCTTTATCTACTTTCTTTTAGCTCTTTGGGGTATCACCGTATCATAACACACTAGGAAAAGATTCTGTTTCTCTCTCTTTCTTTCTCTTCTTTATTATCTACTTTCTTTTAGCTCTTCGCATCATAACACACTAAAAGATTCCTTTCTCTCTCTTTCTTTCTCTTCTTTTTTATCTACTTTCTTTTAGCTCTCCGCATCATAACACACAAAAGATTCTGTTTTCCTCTCTTTCTTTCTCTTCTTTTTTATCTACTTTCTTTTAGCTCTTTGGGTATCACCGTATCATAACATACAAAGATTCTGTTTTCTCTCTTTCTCTTCTTTTTTTATCTACTTTTTTTAGCTCTTCGCATCGTAACATACAAAAGATTCTGTTTTTTCTCTCTTTTTTCTCTTTTTTATCTACTTTCTTTTAGTTCTTTAGGGTATCACCGCATCATAACATACTAGGAAAAGATTCTGTCTTTCTCTCTTTCTTTCTCTTCTTTTTTATCTACTTTCTTTTAGCTCTTCGCATCATAACACACAAAAGATTCTGTTTCTCTCTCTTTCTTTCTCTTCTTTTTTATCTACTTTCTTTTAGCTCTTTGGGATATCACCTCCGTATCATAACATACTAGGAAAAGAATTTGTCTTTCTCTCTTTTTCTTTCCCTTCTTTTTTATCTAATTTCTTTTAGCTCTTTAGGGAAAGTGTTCGTCGGAAAGATGGGAATAAGAGTGAAAACTGTCAAGCAATATGAATGAAAATGAATAACGTCACGTCACAAAATAAGAATGAAAGTGAATAATATTACACGATGTGAATGAGATTGAGTGACGTCACAAGATAGGACAGGGAACTGATAGTCTCAAAAAGAAAGATATATGATTTAAATTTCGTTATTACAACTCCACACCTTATGTGGTTCGTGTCTAATGACAGTATTTTGATCACCGAGATAAAACTAAACATTAGTTAAACATAAAACACGACAAAAGATAGAAAAAAGATAGAAAATGAGAGATAACCTCACCGTGGTTAAAACCTGAACCTACCATGAATAAAAAATAAAAAAAAGTCACAAAAAAATAAAAATTCACGCCTTCCTCTGGACACAAGCCAATACCACACAACGAATTCCTTTAATAATTCTCTAAGACAAGGATAAAAAAAAAAAAAAAAAAACATACAGTGTATTCCTTCTCAACAACCACCACCAATAACCAAAACTAACACCTACGTATCAATGCAGATAAGCGAGATAACGAAGATAGAGAAATAACCAAACAAAATTCCTGCTTACCTTGGGGTGTTAAAATTGCCCGAGGTGTTTTAGGAACATGAGAACAAATGCGGTTAAAGAAGACAGATATCCTATCAGACGGGTCCGTGGTTCCTCCATGGGCGGTGCAGACGATCACGGGAAGCGCTTGTGTTCTCAACTATGAACAAGGAAGGGGACAAACGGCTGGAATGCACGCACTTACACACAGATACAAAGACACACACATGTACATATACATATAACAACCTACCTATCTATTTATCTATCTATCTATCTATGTACGTATCTATCTATCTGTCTATGTATTGATGTATCTATCTAAGTATGTATCTATCTATTTATTTTATCTATCTAGCTATCTAATTGTGTATCTATATAAGAATATATATGTGCGTGTGTATGTGTATCAATATACATATCATTTATATGAATGCTATCAAAACAATGCTCACCCATAATTTCGACAAAACAGCTGTTCCACAAATAAGGACATATGAATAAAACTCCAATGATGTGGCTCTATAACCCCCCCCCCCCTCTCCACGCCCCCTCCTCATCTCCCCCGCCATCCAACTGTCCGTGCTTGCAGAGACCTTGAAAACCCGATGAAAAATAAGACCAAGGAATTGCAAAATTATCTTGCCCCAACACCCTATCACTGGTTTTGAAGAAGAAAGCTCATTGCTATATATAGTACTCGCAAAACCACCACAATACCTTGTTTGTTTGAATGGTATGTTACTGTCTGTCCCCGACCAAGGTTACACTTATATTTACGTATAACACCCAGTCACTGGTTTGAAAAAAGAAGACTCATTACTGAATATTAAGTAAAAACAAAACAAACACAATAACTTGTTTCGTTGAACTGTATGTTACTGTATGTTTTCGGTAAAAATTTACGTATATATTTACGTATAAAACCCCGTCACTGGTTTAAAAAGAAAGTTCATTGCTCTATATAATACAAAACATACACAAGTTGCTTATTTGAACCGTATATTACTATGTATCTAACATAGACCACGCGTATATATAAGTACATAATTTATTCACACAGACACACACACACACACACACACACACACACAACACATACACACACACACACACACACACACACACACACACACACACACACACACACATATATATATATATATATATATATATATATATATATATATATTATATATATATATATATATATATTTAAGTTGTAGAAACCCGATGTTCTTAGACGACCATGGAAAGACACTAAACTCTGATGGTTTGGCAATTAGATGACTTCTCATTCCTCTCGTGCAAAGAATGCAGTTAAACAGCTGCAGTTATTCGAGAAAAAAAAATAAATGAAGCATGACGGGGAAATGATGATTAGTGATGGCGAGTGTGTTGAAAATGATGATGAAGATGATGATGTGAATAATTATACTAATGCCAAAAATACTAGAATTAATGATGGTAGTGATAACGATGATAAGAATGAGAATGAGAATGATAAGGATGATAATGACGGTAAGTTAATGGTAGTAAAGGTATCGTTTTTATAATGATGCTACTAATGATGATGATGCTAATTAGTATTTCTAATTAGTATAAATGCTAATTACTAGTGATAGGAATGACAATGCAGAAGTAATGATAACAGTGATAGTTTTGGCATATAATACGACTATTGTTATTATTACTAGAACTACTACTAATAGTATTAATGATCATGATAAGAATTATCATAATGATAGTGGTGATGATGATAATGATCATGGTAATTATACTAGTTATAGTGATGAGAATGATGATGATAATAATTATGATAGTAGTTGTAGTAATAATAACGAAGATTATATTAGTGATGATAATAGTAATAATGATAGTAATAGCGAAGATGATAATGGTAATTACATAATTAATGATAATATAATTCAAGGCTCCCCACACACCGTTATTTCATCTAACCTTGTACCTTTTTTCAAAACAGAAATAGTTTATACAGAACCAACGATATAAATCACAATAAAAATGTCACGAACACCAGCATGTGTGCAGTGAAATATATATTTAAAAAATATATTTAATTTGTGTGCGGTTTTCCAAGAGCCAGCTGGGTTTTCCACAGATCAGTGTTACCAATATCTCATCGTTGCCATCTGTTTCCGTCAGTTATTGTTGACATAAACGTGAATTTAGATATATGTAAACTTTCAGATGGATTGCTTGGGTCATCAACAAAAACCAGTTTATTAGAATTCACATTTGTATCGATTTTATTTTCCGGTATTAGTCTGAGTGTTTTTTTTTTTTACGTGTTGTTCACTTGTTCATTTGCAAGTTGAGATGACAAATATGTTTGGCCTTGTGCGCTTGTTTGTTTACTGTTTTGACATGCAGTGGAGAGTTAACATGACATCGCGTGTGTTGGCTTTGGGAAGTTGGAGTTTTATGTACGTTCCGTAAACACATGCAAAGACACACGCGCAAATGTATACACGCCCACACACGTACACACAAATACACACACACTGACACTCTCTCTAACACACACATATACACACACAAGCACGCACACGCACGCACGCACGCACGCACGCACGCACGCACACACACACACACACACACACACACACACACACACACACACACACACACACACACACACACACACACACACACACACACACACACAACCCCCCCCCCATATAATATATATATATATAATATATATATATATATATATACATATATACATATATATATAATATATATATATATATATATATATAAATATATATATATATATATATAATATATATATATATATATAATATTTATATATACTATCTATTTGTTTTTTTACGTTAATGCCAAACTTTTTCTTTCATTCTTTCCTGCTTCCTCTCCCCAGGTGTTACTCGTGGCAGCTGCATTGAACATAGGGTTGGTTCTCCCTCAATATGTCTACCGAAAACCGACTCAACCGACCTTATGTCCGCCCACTTTTGACAAGCATCCTTTGGTAAGTGTGGTAGATTTCTATGTTCGTGTTAGAGTAGGTTTATTCTACTTTTATGCGGGAGTAGCAATGTTTATTTTACTACTACTTGGTATCAATACTACTGGGTATATCTAAATATGTTTATTCTACTTTTATACGAGTAGTACGTCTACTTTTTATCAAGTAGTTGTTTTAGTCTACTTTTATACAAGCGTCTACTTTTTATACAAGGAGTAGTATGTTTAGTCTATTTTATACAAGAGTAGTATGTTTAGTCTACTTTTATACAAGAGTAGTGTGTTTAGTTCTTCTTTTATACAAGAGTAAGAGTCTACTTTTATACAAGAGTATGTTTAGTCTACTTTTATACAAAGAGTTATGTTTATTCTACTTTTTTATACAAGAGTAGTATGTTTATTCTACTTTTATACTAGAGTAGTGTGTTTAGTCTACTTTTATACAAGAGTAGTGTGTTAGTTCTTTTTATACAAGAGTAGTGTGTTTAGTCTACTTTATACTAGAGAAACATGATTATTTACTTTTATGCTATAGCAGTGGTTTAGTTACTTTATACTAGATAAAAAATGTTTATTCTACTTTTATACTAGAGTATCATATATTCTACTTTTGTACGAGAGTAGCATGTTTATGTTTATATACCTTTTATACGTAGTATGTTTATTATAAGTTTTATTATAGTTCTATATCTAGATAGTTTTCTACGTTCATACTAGAGCAGTTGTATTATGTTCATACTAGAGTAAATATGTATTTTCTGTGTTTAAACTAGAGTAAAGTATGTTCATTTCTTACGTTCATACTGAGAGAATACATATGCTATTGCACTTTTATTCGTTGTGATTAGAATATGTATTAAAAAGCAAATTCGATTAGATAAACATGACAAAAAAGGAAACAATAACTAAATAAAGATAAAACAATGATACAAGAAAGAAAAAGATTCATGTTATTTTAACGGAGGTTCAAATGAAAAAAAATGAAATTAAATAATACAAGAGAAAAATAGAAAAAGAAAACGACACTTTTTAACGGACAGAAAAAAAAAAAAAAACAAAAATAAAACAATTATACAAGAATAAAGAAATTGAAACTTTAAGGCTACTTAACTCATCTCTATCTCTTATAATTATCTCGAAATGAAACTTTAAGGCTACTTAACTAACATCTATCTTTTATAATTATCTCGAAATGAAACTCTAAGGCTACTTAACTAATCTCTTTCTATAATTAAGTATCTCGAAATGAAACAAGGCTACTTAATCTATCTCGAAATGAACTTTAGGCTACTTAACTAACATCTATCTTTCATAATTATCACGAAATGAAACTCTAAGGCTACTTAACTAATCTCTATCTTCTATAATTATCTCGAAATGAAACTTTAAGGCTACTCAACTAATCTTTTATATTAACTCGAAATGAAACTCTAAGGCTACTAACTCATCTCTATCATAATTATTATCTCGAAATGAAACTTTAAGGCTACTTAACTCATATCTTTTTTATAATTATTTCGAAATGAAACTTTAAGGGCTACTCATCTCTTTTTTATAATGATCTCGAAATGAAACTTCAAGGCTACTTAACTCATCTCTATCTTTTATAATTATCTCGAAATGAAACTTTAAGGCTACTTAACTAAACATCTATCTTCTATAATCATTCGAAATGGAAACTCTAAGGCTACTAACTAACCTCACTCATCTATAATTAAGTAACTCGAACTCTAAGGCTACTTAAACTCATCTCTCTCATCTTTAATCATTTCGAAATGAAACTTTAAGGCTACTTATCTCTATCTCTATCTCTTTATAATCATCTCGAAAATGAAAACTCTAAGGCTACTCAACTCATCTCTCTCTCTATAATTAAGTAATCTCGAAATGAAACTCTAAGGCTACTTAACTAACTCTACTTTCACAATTATCTCGAAATGAAACTTTAAGGCTACTTAACTAACCTCTCTCTCATCTTAATTAAGTAACTCGAAATGAAACTTTAAGGCTACTTATCTATATCTCTTATAATCATCTCGAAATGAAACTTTAAGGCTACTCAACTAACCTCTCTCATCTATAATCAAGTAACTCGAACTCTAAGGCTACTTAACTCATCTCTCTCTATAATTAACTAATCTCGAAATGAAACTCTAAGGCTACTTATCTCTATCTCTATCTTTATAATCATCTCGAAATGAAACTCTAAGGCTACTTAACTAACCTCTCTCATCTATAATAAGTAAAAATTAAGTAAAACTTTAAGGCTACTCAACTAATCTCTCTCTACAATTAACTAATCTCGAAATGAAACTCTAAGGCTACTTAACTCATCTCTCTCTATAATTAACTAATCTCGAAATGAAACTCTAAGGCTACTTAACTCATCTCTCTCTATAATTGACTAATCTCGAAGACCTGCCATGCCAATCAGCTGTTTCCCTTCCCTCCAGATCCTCGTGTCGATGGACGGGTTCAAGCCAGAGTACCTGAGCCGCGGAAGGACGCCCACCATCCAGGCCCTCGCTAACAGGGGCGTGAGGTCTCCCTACATGAAGCCTTCCTTCCCTACGGCTACGATACCCAATCACTATACGATAGCTACGGTGAGGAGAATGGGTGTTGTGTTTTTTTTTTTATTTTTTGTGTATTGTGTAATTTTGTGATTTGGTTTTGGCTTTTGTTTGTTCTTTTTTTTTTTAATCTTATTTTATTATTTTTTTATTGATTTATTATTTTATTTATTTTATTTATTATTATGTTTTTTAATTATTCTTTCATATCGGAGGTCAGGGAAACGCGCTTAAATTTGATAGATATTTTGAGATTCTTCCATATGAACACAAACACAAACAGTATAATGTACACAAAAATGGGAAAGGGAAAACAGCCACAATAAGAAATGAAAATAAATCGTAAATCTAGTTATTCATTTCCGTTTCTTATCGTGGCTGTGTTCCTCTTCATTCTTCCCATATCTAAAAAAAAAAAAAAAAAAAAAAAAAAAAAAAAAAAAAAAAAAAAAAAAAAAAAAAAAAAAAAAAAAAAAAAAAACACGCCATGCACCAAAATTTCAAAAAACCACACAACCAGATACATCCCCTCAATACCCCCCCCATTAACCCCAAATGACCACCCCCATCGCCCTCAGGGAATGTACCCGCCCTCCCACGGTATCGTCGCCAACAAATTCTACGACCCCGTCTTCGGAACCGAGTTTCGCATCGGCGTCGCCCCAGAGAGCTTCAAGAAACGCTACTGGGGCGGAGAACCCATCTGGAAAACGGCCGAAAACCAGGCAAGTTTTTTAAGAAGTTTAATATTCGTAATGGCTTTTTTCTTTTTTTTTGCTTTACATATTTATTTCGTTTTTCGCTCTCTGTTTGTCTGTCTTCTCTTTCTCTTCTCATCTCTCTCTTCTCTCTATGTCTCTCTCTCTCTCTCTCTCTCTCTCTCTTCATATTCACGTCTGTTGCTCTTTTTTTCTCTCCCAGTGTGCTGTGTGATGCAATGTGGCTGGTCTTGCTTCTTATTATTATTATCTTATGGAGGGAGGGAGTAGAAGAGAGAAGGAGAAGGGAGAGAGAGAGATGAGAGAGAGAGAGAGAGAGGAGAGAGATGAAGAGATAGAGAGAGGGAGAGGAGGGAGAGGGAGGGAGGGAGGAGGGAGGGAGGAGAGGGAGAGAGAGAGAGAGAGAGAGAGAGAGAGAGAGAGAGAGAGAGAGAGAGAGAGAGAGAGAGAGAGAGAGAGAGAGGAGAGAGAGAGAGAGAGAGAGTTGTTTTGGTGCATAACAAGGTTGTTGTTTCACCTCTTACACATAACAGGAGAGAATTAGGAAAAGTGGTTTGCTCTGGTTAACACCTTCGGAGGTGAATGGTGAACGGGAAGCGTTTTGGTAAATAACAAGAATGTTCTCCTCCAACATAACCAGAGAGTAAATGAGTGAATAGTAAAGTGAATAAAACACATGATCAGAGAGTGAATGAGTTTTGTTCTGGTGAATAACAAGGTTGTTCTCCAACACATAACTAGAGAGTGAATGAGTAAAGCGGTTGTTCTGGTGAATAACAAGGTTGTTCTCCAACACATAACCAGAGAGTGAATGAGTAAAGGCGGTTCTGGTGAATAAAAAGGAGAGTGAATGAGTAAAGCGGTTCTGGTGAATAACAAGGTTGTTCTCCAATACATAACCAGAGAGTGAATGAGTAAAGCGGTTCTGGTGAATAACAAGGTTGTTCTCCAATACATAACCAGAGAGTGAATGAGTAAAGCGGTTCTGGTGAATAA